TGGATTACAAAAAAAAAAAAAAAAAAAATACCGTACGGACTCGCCGATTCACTGTTCCGACTCGTCGATCCCGTATAGTGAATCGGCGAGTCACTGTACAGAAATCGTCCGGTTCTCTCTAGAACCGGACGATTTCCGATTTTTCAACCGATTCGATCCACTTTTGCGATTTCCGAGTCGAACCGGGCGAGTCCGGTTCGACTCGGCGTTTTTTAAAACAGTGATCTCAACATAAAGATTTTTTGAAATAAATAAAATAATAAATTTAAATCTTAAAAACAGTGTATTTTGTAACAAATTATATAAATCGTCTATTTTAAAGAGTTTATATATTTATTTGATCTATACCATATTTAAATTTTTAAATTTCATAATTAAGATTGAACATGAATTTATGGTTTCTAACACCGGAACTTCATATTGTAGCAAAATTTAGAGGTATGCCTTACTATATAGTATAAGGTGGACATTTTTTACAAACCTCGCCTATTGGAATTTCCAATAAGCCAAAATATTTCGCCAAAATATTTTATGCTCCCTTAGGAGCATGTTGTCCATTTACTCCCTGGAGTAAGGCCAAATTTAAAGGTAATTTAGGATTGACATTTTGGGGAGTTAACATTGTGAACCTATGGACTAACCTCAAAAAAATAAAAATTTTAAACCTCCCTCTACTTGAAAATATAATATCTCAATATTGCATCAAGACCATGAGTGGGAGGTCTAAGTGCCCGAAAATTTAAATAATTAACTTTTATGTTTTATAATTATTGCATAGTTCCTGAAATTTTAGATTCAAAAAGTCATTCCAAATTGATTCTCTGCCAAAAAGTGAATGAACAGTATACTCCCATAAAACCATAACATATGCGCTCTTTCCTATAGAAACGTTGCATGGTACCAAACCGACTTGCATAACTCCACTTGCGTATGTCGATTCAATCGAATCACACCATGACTCGGCTTATCCAACCAAGTCTCGACCGAATTTCATGTCCTCCTAGTTTCTAACTCATATACAAACAAAATTATAACTTGTATAAAAATAAAATTGGAGATAAGGGGTTAGGTTGGCGGGGTGCCACAACATAACATTTTGAGCTTTGTAGTGTAGACAACCTCTTCCTCACTAAACTACCAAAAAAAAAAGCAGGCATTTTAAAAGCCTTAATAAATATAAGAATTGTATAAGATGAGAGCATGTACCCTTGGTATAGGGGGGCACAATTACTTACCACCATCTGATGTGAAATATGATAGCTTGGATGTATCACAAAGTTCGAGATTTTTTTAAAACAAATTTGAGCTTGGTCAATGAAATAAATACAGCCACCTAAATTCACATTCGATGGTCAAGATTAATTGTGACCATCTTGTACTAAAAGATAAATGGTTTTTTTATATACTTTCCCATAAATATAGTGTCTAGTTAAAATAAAAATATTATGCTTTTCAATTGTTATTTATTAATATATATTTAAAAAAATTTGGTCCTCGATAAAAAAATAAATTGGATTGAAATAGTATGCGATATTTTCTTTTTATCCGGATATATTTATACTTAAATATGGGTGTGGTTGGCAATGGGGGCTAGGCTTTACATTAATATGTATCTATGCATCTCGAAACCCCACTTAAGAATGCAAATGTTGGAAAATTTTATGATAACACTAACTAAATTTCATACTCATATGATTGTAGATAAATAAATAAAAATAAAATACTTTGAAGCGGCTCACTTGATCTAAATTTGACGATTAGATGGGAGGAAAGTATTGCAACTTATATACAATAGGAGAAGTATAGAAACGTTTTCCTATTCACAAAAACTCTACAACAATCTCATCAAGATTTATATGTCCTAAATCTGGGGAAGAAGAAGAAGAAGGAAAATCTACAAAAGTATCAGAAATACTATCATCTGTCATTTTTAAAAATAGTTGTACAGAGTTGACTGTATAAAGATACAGATAGGTTAAAGGTCAACTTTCATTTTCTGGTTTATAAAGTATGAACTCCACTCAATGCCTCTTGCCGATTTCAGAGTTCCTGTCGAATAAACCTCATAAAGTATTGTGACAATGAAATATCAACTTCACTTTAATAAATTAACCTTTAATTTGTATCTTGTTTTCTGATGCGAGAGATCGTAGACCAGCTACACAGACGCAGAGCATACTAATCTGAATACATATTATAGATTAACCCAGCCAACAGTGTATTAATATAATCTCAACAACATAATCCAGGCTCTGATACCAATATAGATGTGCACAAGCATAAAAACAAGCATAAACAATATAGATGTAGACAAGCATGAACAATCATACACAAAAGACAGTAATAACAAGGAAAATCAAAAGGTAGATCAAAAGTAGACAGAAGATCAGAAAATACTTAAACATGCGCACTATAAATTACAATATCATACAAGGGATACAAAGATCTTCCAAGCACAAAAGAAAATTACAGCGGAAAACAGAAGCAAGGAAGAAAACAAGGCAGGAAGTAAAGAAGTAAAGCACACCAAAGAAAACTAAGGCCGGGAGGCTCTAAAAGCACTCTGGCCATTACAAATGCTAGGAATGGGTATTTATAGGCCCCGAACATGAAAGGCGGATTCCAA